CTAGACTTACGCTGTTGAAGAGATGTATGAATATGTCATGTGTGAGTATGTCACACACTCTCGACACCAGACAACACTTCTCAGTGACTATGTTAAGTCAAGACAAAAAAGCCATTGTGTAAATACATCTCTCTGTGTTTGTGACTTGTTGCTCCCCCTCTTCGTGGAGGAACGACACCAAGCCCTGCGCTGTTCTTTCGTCTGCTCGGCCCTCCCCGGGTTCGCTGCTGGTTCTTCCCGGGTTGGCTACTATCCCTTCCACCTCCGTGGAAGGGTGGTTCCCCCTGGCCGCTTTCCCCACTTCCGCAGGGGAGCGGCACACCACCGGCCGGCTTTCTCGGGGGCTGCACAGGTGTTCCTTCAGCTAGATGTTCCCCTTAGATGTTCCCTGGTGCATGCCGTCTCTCTCCTCCTTTATAGTCCTCCTCCACCAATCCCAACTCGGTTGCCCACACGCCGAGTACGCTGCTCTCCAATCAGGAGCAAGTCCTACAGTTTATTGGTTGAACTGGAGGCAGCTGTGCGGAAGCTGTTTACTTCTCTCCCAGCGCCATATTGTGGGAGAGCAGATGCATAGAATAAGTCTTAATTCCAGTAACTCAGTCTAGTCCGGTTTGCTCCCCACAGATCCCCCTTTCTTTTTATTTTTGGCGTTGATACGCGCCTGTCTTCGGTGTCCCGCGGCACACACTCTGCTCTACTTGCTAGAGTTGCCACAGGTTCTTACAAGTCCTATCAATCAGGCAAACCGAATCCGGGTCCTCTCTTCGCCATGTTGTGAGGAGGTTTTTAGGCGCTGATGCGTGCCTGTGTTCGGTGACCTGCGGCTCATACTCTGGTCGAGCCACCTGCTGGCGCTTACCGCCTTAATCAGGCAGACCGAATCCAAGCTTTCTCATTGCCGTATTGTGGGGGAGACTTATTAGTGTTGGTTCGTGCCTATCTTCGGTGACCTGCAGCTCATACTCTGGTCGAGCTGCTTGCTGGTGCTTACCGCCTTAATCAGGCAGACCGAATCCAAGCCTCCTAATTGTTGTATTGTGGGGAGGCCTTACTGATGTTAATTTGTGCCTGTCTTCGGTGACCTGCGGCGCATAAGCTGCTAGCCACCGCAGGTGCTCATCGCCTCACTTAATCAGGCAGACCGAATCCAAGCTTTCTCATTGCCATGTTGAGGGGAGGCCTTTCTATTTCTCTATTTCTCTATCTCCGGGCATTCCTATTTCTCCCATTTTACTTCTATCTTCCAGCATTCCTATTTCTCTCACTTTACTTCTAAACTTCTGTTTCTCTTATCCCCGCGGCTTCCCGGCGCCTCACCCTGCCGGCAGCTTCACGGCTCCGCGCAGCTTCCCGGCGCCTCGCCCCGCCAGCGGGCTCTGCCCCGAGGCTGCTTCTCGGCGCCTCGCTGGCTCTGAGCTGCTTCAGCCTCTCTCATCTGCACGGCTCGGCTTTGCGCGCACACTCCGCGGTCTCACACTTAGCCCAGCGTTCCCTATGTACTTGAGCCCTGCACGCTCTGTCTGCGCGCGGCAGCCTCCACGAGTCACACAGCGTAGCTTACGTGTCCGCCACTAGCATTCAATCTAAGTTCCCCGGGCTAGCCTGGCGAATTCAACCCAGCTTACGTCTCCGCCCCACGGTTTGGCTTCCCGTCCTTTGCTCCCCGGGCTAATCAGACGGATCCCAACCAGGCTTACGTTTCAGCTTCTGGTTTCAACTTTTCGCCCCCTATTCCCAGGCTAACTTGAGAATCCCAAAGTGGCTTTCGTTTCAGCCTCGGCCTGCCCCCCGCGGCTTCAATTTCCCTAACACTTTTCTCTACCCGGTATGTTTCCCTAAGTTTTCTTCCAACAATATTCCTCCCTCATTTCTCCTGGCCTCTCCCCACAGTCCGCGTCCGAGTCTGTTCTAGCTTTCACTTTCGCTTTCGACCTTAGAGATTTCTCCCAGCTTCCCCCCGTAGTCCGTATCTGAGTCTATGCCTAGGCTTTCAATAGCTTCTTCCGGCACCTTTTTCGTCCGGCTTTTCCCTAGGCTGTTTGCTAGTCTCTCTCTCCGGTATTTTCCCAGTTCTTCCCGTTTCTTCCCTCCTAGGTTTCCTATCTGTCCTGGGTTTCCTATCCGAGTCACGGCACCATTATGTCGCTCCCCCTCTTCGTGGAGGAACGACACAGGACCCTGCGCTGTTCTTTCGTCTGCTCGGCCCTCCCCGGGTTCGCTGCTGGTTCTTCCCGGGTTGGCTACTATCCCTTCCACCTCCGTGGAAGGGCGGTTCCCCCTGGCCACATTCCCCACTTCCGCAGGGGAGCGGCACACCGCCGGCCGGCTTTCTCGGGGGCTGCACAGGTGTTCCTTCAGCTAGATGTTCCCCTTAGATGTTCCCTGGTGCATGCCGTCTCTCTCCTCCTTTATAGTCCTCCTCCACCAATCCCAACTCGGTTGCCCACACGCCGAGTACACTGCTCTCCAATCAGGAGCAAGTCCTACAGTTTATTGGTTGAACTGGAGGCAGCTGTGCGGAAGCTGTTTACTTCTCTCCCAGCACCATATTGTGGGAGAGCAGATGCATAGAATAAGTCTTAATTCCAGTAACTCAGTCTAGTCCGGTTTGCTCCCCACAGTGACTCTGCTTTGATCCAGTTCCCTGTTAATAACATGGGAAAGTAGTGGAAGATGTCTCAAGTGCTTGGTTACTGCCACCCATGTGAGAGACCTGGGAGAACCTCCTGGCTCCTGTTTCTTGGCTTTAGTTTGGCACAACACTGGCCACTGTGGCCATTGGGGAGTAAAACATTGAATAGCAGTTCTCTGTGTGTGTGTGTGTGCCTTTCTCCCTCTCTCTTCCTCTCTCTTCCTTTCTCTGTCTGTAATTGATTTTCAAGTAAATAAATAAATGGTAAAGGAACACACGAAAATGCCCATTATGTCCCTCTTGTTACTACAATAACTAACTGGTCCTCCATAAGAATTAACTTTAGCTCTACTGCATTCTCTCTGCATCCCAAATAAGAACTATTAGGATTACCAAGGGCCGAATAAACTTCCTCAAGATAGCCAATACAGAGAAGCATCTTTCTTCCTTGAACAATAATCAGTATATGTGAAATGGGCCCAAATGCATTCAGAAACTCTCTTGAGTAGCCTCTGTGTGACATACTACACAATCATTTCTGGTCTGCAATCATATTTATTACTCAAAATATTTACTCTTTAGACAACAGCTGTCATACTGATGGTCTTTGGGAAAAGTGGCCTCATAAAAGTATTTTTTAAAATTTTTGTCATCACAGCACAATAAAAAATAATGATCATGACAAACATTGTGACTATGTGAGGGTGAAAAGTAAAATTCACAGGTGAAAACAAAATTGAAGATACATAGCAATACTGTCAATGTCAAAATTCTTAAAATTATAAAGTGGAGTGTAAAGGTCATTGGATTCATGAATGCCGAGAGATATTTTAATTTATCTTCTCGTTAAAATAAAGTCACAAAACACGTATTAAAATGCAACACTTAAGATCTATGAACCAGAAAATGTGGGCAAATATCAAACATATATTTTTATCATTCAACAGATGCAAATTCTCAAATCTCTAAGCTTTTTCTCCACAGGCAGAGTCTTGCCTTCCCAGACAATCTCACTTGCGGTCTAACAACACCAACTCCCTGGAAGAAAAAACAAACTGCTGTGTGCCCACCAAAGTGCATTTGCTTTTCAGATCCGGCACTGCTTAGCTAGGGTGGGTTTGCCCTGACTTCTGTGACAACCTTTTTCCCTTTAGAAGTATCAGAGAATCATTTCTGTCTTGTCCCCAGATACCAGCATCTATGTAGTTGACTATTAATATGTCTCCCAGAATAGAAACTGCAGTGAGAGGAAAACCTTAATGTCCCAAAGGCTTAGCCATACAGATGACAGGTGTACCCAGAATTTTCACCCAGTCCTAAGAGAAACTTCAGGGGCAGGATGAGACCCAGGGAATGACATCCACTAGACACTCTTGGAGCCTTGGCCATGGGGGACTTTTTGGAACATCACCCTCAGTCAGTTTTAAAAATTAGGAGAGGAAAAGGGAGGAGGGTGAGTGGAGGTGACATCATCCTGCAGTTTGCAAAGGTAAAGTCAAGCCAATGGCTGCATTTAAGGAATGCAAAATGAAGACAGGCCCAAGGATATTTTGCACTGGAGTGTCAGGGAGACGTTCTCTGATTTCCTCTTTTGTGAAACTTCACCAAATAAACATTCAAGCGCCCTGATGATGCCTGCAGCTGCCTCGGAACTCTGCCAACAAGTTCATCATCAGGTGCCCTTCCCAATCCTTGGACCGAAAAGATGAGTCAAAGCTGTTTCTTCTCTGATTTACAGAGTTTGTGGTACTCTATGCCGATGGGGAGAAAGGAGGGACCGGGCACCCCCAACAGACCACAGCTCCTCCATGCATGAACCCTGTACTCCAAGTCCAGATTCTCCCTGATCACCCTCCTGTCCTCACTGCACAACCTGAGGAGAGGTGGCACTACAGCCACTCGGAAGAGATGGCTCTGGTGCTAAGCCGGGGTCACTGTGCAGGGACAAGGTATGTCGCCCATAATCTGGAGCCAGCCCAGCCTTCACCTGGTGGAGTCTGCAGATGCAAGAGCTCACCGTGGGGAAGTCCAAGTCCCTCCACACTCAGTTCAAGCAGGATCTAACTTTTCCACCTCCCCTTTCTCAGACACCTGGCCCTAAGCATACTGCATTTCATGCTTTTCAAGTGTCCGGCTTCCTCTTTGCAGAGGGGAGAAAGCTAAGCCACCACACGGACATTTCTCCCAGTGCAGCCTGGAAGAGACTGTGACATGACAATATCGCAAGATTCCGTGGTTGCCCCTCCCTTGAGGGGTGCCTGGTTGGACAGTTTGTAAGGCAGGTGGGCATGGATGATGTCATAAAGCTGTAGCCAATCAGTATGCTCCCTGGCATAGTGGGTATGGGGTACTGTTGCCAGGTGAGGGGAGTGAGGAACTGGGGCTCTGGTCTGAAGATGCTTCCTCTACTGCTGGATTCCCCAGTGGCCAGTGCCATCACCTCTGTGTTTCTGCACAGCTCTGGTGATCTAAAGCCACATTCAGGTGAGATACAATTTCCTGACCTACTGGTATTTTATTGACTTCTGGGTCTTTGCTTTTCTCCATGTTCTGGAGTCATTTCTTGGTTGTGTCATTTGTGTGTGTGTGTGTGTGTGTGTGTGTGTATTTAATGTGCATTTGAATAAGGTTTAAAGATATTACATAAATTGAATTTCTCTTGTAGATCCATGTTTGCTAGTTTGCCTTTTGTCCTTTAATATTGTCTGTTTCTTGCTGTGAGTTATATTGACTGTCCACCTGGTAATCTTGCTAAATTCATTCACTTACAGGTCGTATTTGGCTTGGGGTTAGATTGGATTCTCTCTCCCTATAATGGTGTCATCCACATATATTTTTATTGCTTAAAAGTTGAAACTTAAATTTGTGTTACTTTTTTGTTGCTTGATTTCTGACCATTCCTTCCATATAGTGTTGAAGAGGGAGGGGAGAGAAGGCAGTCATGTCCGGGTCTGTTCCTAGGGAGAAGGCTTTCATGGGTCCTGTTTTAAGTAGTGTGCTGTGGTCCATTTTAGACTATCTTGATCACAAGAAGGAAGTCACTGTGTTTTCCTATTCTGCTGTAAGTTGATTTTTTATGGTTTGATATTGAATTTTATTAAGTGCTTTTTAATATCTAATCTAAATTGTCATGTAATTTCCTCATATTTTTCAGCTACATGGATGATTTATAGAGCTTGTTTAAGAATGCTAAAAAGTTCTTCACTTTTTAGTGTAGCTCACCTGATATTGATCTATTATGCTTTCCTATGTGATAGAATTCATATAATCATATTTTGCTTAGAATATATGTACCTCAGTTTATGAAAGATGATTATTTCATTTTAATTTAATATCCTGGTCTCATTTGTATCATAATGTAACACTGGCTTCCCAAAAGAGATTCAAAATTATTCTGGGTATGCCCACTTGGAACAAGTCAGGGAAATTCAGTGGTTTTTCTCTTAGAAGTGTATAATGTCATATAAGTCTGGACCCAGGTTTTTGCTTGTGGAACATTTTTCTTGATTGGTTGGTTTGAGTTGCAAAAATTGGTTCAACTTATAAAATTATATAGGAATTTTCCTATTCCATCTTATATTTGTGTTTTGGAACTTAGATATCAAAATCTAGCAGATTTTGAACTCTGAAGTCAATTTTTAGATAATTTTTAGTTATATAAAGTGAATAAATTTCATATATTTCATATATACAGACTTAGGAGCATAGTGGTACTTCCCACCCTACCACCTGTCCTGCTCATGCTGCCATCCTCCCTCTCACTTTCTGTCATATTCTTTAATTTTTTTAAACTTTTATTTAATGAATATAAATTTCCAAAGTACAGCCCATGGACCACAATGGCTTACCCCCCATAACGTCCCTCCCACCCACAACCCTCCCCCCTCCCACTCCCTCTTCCCCTCCACTCACATCAAGATTCATTTTCAATTCTCTTTATATACAGATCAGTTTAGTATACATTAAGTAAAGATTTCAACAGTTTGCTCCCACACAGAAACATAAAGTGAAAAATACTGTTTGAGTACTAGTTATAGCATTAAATCTCAATGTACAGCACACTAAGGACAAAGATCCTACATGAGGAGTAAGTGCACAGTGACTCCTGTTGTTGACTTTACAAATTGACACTCTTGTTTATGGCGTCAGTAATCACCCTAGGCTCTTGTCATGAGCTGCCAAGGCTATGGAAGCCCCCTGAGTTCACTGACTCTGATCATATTTAGACAAGGCCATGGTCAAAGTGAAAGTTCTCTCTTCCCTTCAGAGAAAGGTACCTCCTTCTTTGATGACCCGTTCTTTCCACTGGGATCTCACTCGTGGAGATCTTTCATTTAGGTTTTATTTTTTTTTCCCCAGAGTGTCTTGGCTTTCCATGCCTGAAATATTCTCATGGGCTTTTCAGCCAGATCCGCATGCCTTAAGGGCTGATTCTGAGGCCAGAGTGCTGTTTATGACATCTGCCATTCTATGAGTCTGCTGTGTATCTCACTTCCCATGTTGGATTGCTCTCCCCTTTTTTTATTCTATCAGCTAGTATTTGCAAACACTAGTCTTGTTTATGTGATCCCTTTGGTTCATAGTCCTATCATTATGATCAATTGTGAACAGAAATTAATCACTGGGACTAATGAGATGGCATTGGTACATGCCACCTTGATGGGATTGAATTGGAATCCCCTGGTATGTTTCTAACTCTACCGTTTGAGGTAAATCAGCTTGAGCATGTCCCGAATTGCACATCTTTTCCCTCTCTTATTCCCACTCTTACATTTAACAGCGATCACTTTTCAGTTAAGTTTCAGCACTTAAGAAGAATTGTGTATTGATTACAGTATTCAACCAAAAGTATTAAGTAGAACAAACAAAAAAAATACTAAGAGGGATAACATATTAAGTTGCTCATCAACAGTCAGGGTGAGGGCTGATCAAGTCACCGTTTCTCATAGTGTTCATTTCACTTTAACAGGTTTCCTTTTTGGTGCTCAGTTAGTTGTCACCTATCAAGGAGAACAAGTGGTATTTGTCCCTTTGGGATTGGCTTATTTCACTCAGCATAATGCTTTCCAGATTCCTAACAGGGATCACTTTTCAGTTAAAATTTAAACACCTAAGAATAATTGTGTGTTAATTACAGAGGTCAACCAATGGTACTAGAAGAAAAAAAAAACTAAAATGGATAAAGTTTTACATTGTACATCAACCATCAGGACAAGAGCTGATCAAGTCACTGTTTCTCATAGTGTCCATTTCACTTCAAGTTTCCCCTTTGGTGCTCAGTTAGTTGTCGCCGATCAGGGAGAACATATGATATTTGTCCCTTTTGGACTGGCTTAATTCACTCAGCATGATGTTTTCCAAATTCTTCCATCTTGTTGCAAATGAGCGAGTTTCTTTGTTTTTGACTGCTGTATAGTATTCTATAGAGTACATGTCCCATAATTTCTTTATCCAGTCTACTATTGATGGGCATTTGGGTTGGTTCCAGGTCTTAGCTCGGATGAATTGAGCTGCAATAAACATTAATGTACAGACAGCTGGTTTGTTTGCCAATTTCATTTCCTTTGGGTAAATTCCAAGGAGTGGGATGTCTGGGTTGAATGGTAGGCTTCTATTCAGGTTTCTGAGGAATCTCCAGACTGACTTCCATAGTGGCTTAACCTGTTTGCATTCCCACCAACAGTGGGTTAGTGTCCCTTTTTCCCCACATCCTCGCCAGCATCTGTTGTTGGTAGATTTCTGAATGTGAGCCATTCTAACCGGGGTGAGGTGAAACCTCATTGTGCTTTTGATTTGCATTTCCCTGATTGCTAGTGATCTTGAACAATTTTTCATGTGCCTGTTGGCCATTTGGATGTCCTCTTTTGAAAAATGTCTATTGAGGTCCTTGGCCCATCTCTTAAGTGGGTTGTTTGTTTTGTTTTTGTGGAGTTTCTTGATCTCTTTGTAGATTCTTGTTATTAACCCTTTATCAGTTGCATAGTTTGCAAATATTTTTTTCCCATTCTGTCGGTTGTCTCTTCACTCTCCTGACTGTTTCTTTTGCAGTACAGAAACTTCTCAATTTGATGCAATCCGAAATGTTAATTTTTTCTTTGACTGCCTGTGCTTCTGGGGTGTTTTCCAAGATGTCATTGCCAGTACGTATATCTTGCAGGGTTTTTCCAATGCTCTCTAATAATTTGATGGTGTCAGGTTGTAGATTTAAGTCTTTAATCCATGTTGAGCGGATTTTTGTGTAAGGTGTAAGGTAGGGGTCTTGCTTCATGATTCTGCACGTGGAAATCCAATTTTCCCAGCACCATTTATTGAATAGACTGTCCTTACTCCAGGGATTGGTTTTGGATCCTTGATCAAATATGAGTTGGCTGTAGATATTTGGATTGATTTCTGGTGTTTCAATGCTGTTCCATTGGTCTATCCATCTGTTTCTGTACCAGTACCATGCTGTTTTGATTACAACTGCCCTGTAGTATGTCCTGAAATCTGGTATTGTGATGCCTCCGGCTTTTTTTTTGTTGTACAAGATTGCTTTAGCTATTCGAGGTCTCTTGTGCCTCCATATGAATTTCAGCATCATTTTTTCTAGATCTGCGAAGAATGTCTTCAGTATCTTGATTGGGATTGCATTGAATGTATAAATTGCTTTTGGGAGAATGGACATTTTGAGGATGTTGATTCTTCCAATCCATGAGCATGGCAGATTTTTCCATTTTTTGGTATCCTCTTCTATTTCTTTCTGTAAGGTTTGTAATTCTCATTGTAGAGATCTTGAACGTCCTTGGTTAAGTTTATTCCAAGGTATTTGATTGTTTTTGTAGCTATGTGAATGGATTGATCTAGAAGTTCTTCCTCAGCCATGGCATTTCTT